CGCAGGATAGAGCAGGGTTTAGAGCTGTTGTGCATAGGGTCGCTATGAGTCGGAAACGACTCGATGGCACATAACAACAACAACAACATTTTTAAGTGTGTATTTGTCATAGTGACAAAAACTTTTGATACATTCTATAAGTTTAGCTACTTCTTAGAAACTACAAATATTTTTGTATAGTAAATGTGATTTTATAGTTATTTTAATAACGCACTTAAATAAAAAACTTATTTTGGATGGACAGATATCTAAGTATTGACTTTGCCATGACTTCTTTTCAACTACTTGCTATCCATCTGAAAGTGAGATAATGAATAAAGATGACAGAAAAAGAATCAATGTCTTCGAGTTGTGGTACTGAAGAAGAGTACTAAATACCCCATGGACTGCCAAAAGTACAAATATGTTCTGGAGAAAGTTTAACCAGGGTGCTTCTTAAAGGTAAGAATAGTGAAGCTTCATCTCACATACTTTGGGCATGCTGTTAGGAGGACATCATGCTCAGAAAGATGGAGGTCAGTGAGAGAGAAGATGGCCCTCAATGAGACAGATTGAAAATTCAGTAACTGTGACAACTGACTCAAGTATATCAGAGATGATAAGGATGGCACAGGGTAGGGAAAGGTTCAAATTAACTCAAGAATGAATTATAACTCAATATAAGTCATAAATGACTTAACAGCACCTACCAACAATACTGCTTTCTGTTTCAGTCACCTGTTATTACTAATGTATCTGGAATGCAAAAGTTGGAAACAGAGAAGAATTAATTAGTCAGAAAACAGGGACTTGGTGACAGAAATGAGGCTGGAGACAGAACGATAGAATTCTGTAAAATCAATGATTTATTCATTGCAAATAACCTTACATAAGAAACATAAACAGCGACTATACACATGGATAATCACCTAATGACCTACACAGTAATCAGACTAATTACATCTGTGGGGAAAATCATCAGAGTAATTGAATATCAGCTATAAAACTAGGCTATCAACTAGATCATCAACTACTCATATGCAAGTTCAAGCTGAAGCTTAAATGGTATCAAATCCACAAGAACCAAAGTTTGACCTTCAATCTATCTCTCCTGAATTTAAAGACCACCTCAGGAACAGGTCTGAGGCCCTGAATACTAATGAGCAAAGACTAGAAGAGTTGTGGGAGGACATCAAGATCATTTCTTCATGAGGATATCAAGAACATTACTCATGAACAATGCAAAAGGCAGAGGAAGAAGAAAAAACCAAGACGGATGTAAGATACTGAATATTGCACTACAATGCTGAAAAGTCAAAGCAAAGAGAGAAATCAAGAATTTAAGGAGCTGAACAGATTTCAAAGGACAGCACAGGAAAACAACGCAAAGTATTATAATGAAATGTGCAAGGAGCTGCAGTAAAAAAATCAAAAGGAACAAATTTGCTCAGCATTTCTTAAGCTGAAGAAACCGATGAACGAATTCAAACTTCAAGTTGTAATACTTAAGATGTTGTGGGCAAAATGATGAATGATCCAGGAAGCATCCAAAAATTAAGGAGAACAGAGTCCCTAAAGCAAAAAGATGACTCACAAAGAAGAATTTCATTGAACAACATATGATCAAGAGCCTATAGTGATGAAGGAAGACCTTTACGCTGCTCCGAAGGAACTGGGAAAAAAACAGGGCTCCAGAAAGTGACAGTGTACTAACTGACATATTTCAAAACAAATGATGCCCTGGAAGCACTCAAAAGGTTATGCCAAGAAATCTGGAGGACAATTACGTGGCCAGGTGACTAGAAGAGATCCATATTTGTTCCCATTCCAAAAAAAATGGTGATCTAGTGGAGTATGTAAATTATCAAACAATATCCCTAATATTGTCATGTTGTTGCCGTTGTTATGTGCCGTCGAGTCGCTTGCGACTCATAGCGACCATATGTACAATATTTTAATAGTATCATGCAATCAAAATCCTGGAGATTATATATTAAACAAAAACAAACCAACCAACCCTAAAAGAGCACATTCACAGAGAATTGTCAGACATGAAGCCTGGATTTAGAAGAGGTCGTGGCAGTAGGGACATGATAGCCAATTACAGATAGATCTTAGCTGAAAGCAGAGTAACCAGAGGAATATCAACCTATGTTTCATTGACTATGAAAAGGCATTTGACTATGTGGATCACGACAAATTGTGCTTAACCTTTAGAAGAATAAGAACCCCAGAACATTTGATTGTACTAATGTAAACCTAACTTGGACCAGGAGGCAGTTGTCAGAACAGAGCAAGGAAACACTGCTACATGCTTCAAAATCAAGAAAGGTGTACACCAAAGATGCATCCTATCTCCATATCTTTTCAAGCTATATGCGAAACAGACCATATGAGAGGGCTGGGCTCTATAAGGAGGAATGTGGCATCAGGATTGGAGGAAGACAACCTGCATTATACAGATGACAACCTTGTGAAACTGAGAAGGCCCTGAGGCATTTGTTGCAGAAGGTCAAAGACTGTAGTCTTCAATATGGATTGAAGAACATCAACAAAGATTCTCACCAATGGGCCAAATGGCAGCATCATGAGAGATCTCCATCAGAGATTGAGATTGTTAACAACTTCAGCTTGTCTGGATCTATAATCAACACTCCTGGTATCAGCAGCCACAAAATCAAAAGATGAATTGCACTGGGAAAGTCTGCTGTCAGGGACTTCTCCAGAATACGGAAGAGCAACAGTGTCAGTCTAGAGACTCAGGTGCACCTGATCCAAGCCATGGTCTTCACAATTGCATCGGAGAGCTGACAATAAACAAGGATGATAGAAAAATCAATGCATTTGAGTTAAGGTGCTGGAAAAGAGTACTGAACATACTAAGAAAACAAACAGGTCTGTTCTGTAGAGAATGAAGCCAAGCTGTTCCTTGGAGGCAATGATTTTGAAGCTTTGTGTCACAAAGGTGTCATTTCTCTGAAGGTTCAAAGTCACCAGCAGCTCCATAGGACAAAGATGAGATTTCCTCCCATGTAATTTATAGCCTCAGCAACCCAATGGATGATTAGCTACAAGTTGGTTTCAACCTGACAGCAATTAATTAAACTGAAGGCAGTACACTAACAATGAATGATGCTAAGAATCTAATAAATGAAAGCTATAGCCATGCTTTAGAAGAACATCTTCTGTATCATGTTAATGGTTATCCCTCACTCTGGTGTGATTTGTCTGTTTGTATTCTGCTAAAGTCTTAAACCAGTCACTAAAAAAAACATTCTCATCTGGGTGTCTTATTTCCCTACTTTACAGTTCTGCTTCTCAAGCTTCAAGATCCTTATTTAGTAAGACCAAAACACATTCATTAGAAACTTTAGCTTAACCAAAGAGCATGCTTATAAACAAGTTCAGGGTGAATGAATTTTTAGTAGCCTCCCTCAATTTCCCCATCAATGTTTCTAAGGCATCATTTATGGAGTGCTGGCTGGGGACATATAGCCTCCCAGTATACTAACCTGTAAATGTCTAACACCACAACAGCTGGGATTGTGTACCAATGAGGGAGTTTTTCTTTTGCTTTTCGAGGAGCAAACAGGGGGGGGGGGGGGGGGGGAGAGAGGGGGGGGGCGGGGAGAAGGGTACAACAATGAATGAATGGAATCCCAAAATCTCTGTAGATGTTCATTGAAATGAAAAATAAATAAAAAAAGAAAATATAAATGTGAAATTAATGCTTTTTGACAAAAGGATCTTCAGCAACAACTTGAAACGCTTTTAATTTCTACTAAATTTACCCATTTGCACCTTTTTTGACTTTCCCAAATTAATCTCAGTTAACAGCATGAAAGGAAAATGCAAGATTCCAGTAAACTCCAGAAAACTATAGTATATATAGAGCCAGTATATAATTTCACAGTAATCAAAGAATGCACAGTTTTCTTATGGGGAAAATAAGCCAATATGATTCCCCTCCCCCCGAAAATAAGATCCCAATTATAAAAAACCAAAATAACTATACTTTTCAGTAGTCATTATTATAAATTAACTTCAGTTTTGTACAACTGACAAAGTACATTTGACAGATATTACAGCTTCATTGAAGACATTTCATTGTTCTCAATATTTTTTATACATCTCAGCTAAAAATAAAAAAAATAGAACCTCTCTCTCATGCAGTACGTTCACATATGTATACAAATAGGGAAGTCATGCTAATCATATGGAACTTTTAAAAGACATTTTTAACTGGAAACAGGCATGAGATAAATAACTGGGATTAGAAAATGTTCTTGTGGACACACACACACAATCTGTACATTAATATTTTTACAGTTTACTACACGTAGATAATATCTCAAAATAAAAGATAACACTAAAAGTAGACATCATTATGAAAAATTGTTACTAAAATGAAAGGAAATACTCACAAATAGCACTTACCAAAATTTAAGAAAATTAATTTGGCTTGAATCCCAGGACATAGTTTGATGAGAAATGGAATGGCAATATATAACCCCAACACATAGAAAAGTATCCTCCTTAGTTGGAACCAAAGCCCCTTTCGCCTGCAAAAGAAAACAATCAAAAGGTTAAGATTCAGAATATAGAATTTTTGCTATTGTTTAGTAATATTATAATTTAGTTATTCTTACTGGATGTCATCACTTAACTATGACTCACAGCAACCCAATGAATAACAGATCCAAACTTTGCTAAGCACAGTGCCATTCTTACTATCTCTGACATACCTGATCCCACTCACAGTCACTGGATCAATCCACCTTTTTGAGGGTCTTCCTCTCCTTCACTGACTCTCACCTTCCCAAGAATGTCTGTCTCCAAGGTTAGGGCTCCTCTAACAACATGCCTAAAGTATGTAAGACCTTTCACCATCCTTGCCTCCAAGGAGCACTGTGGGTTCACTTTTTTTAAGACTTTGTTCTCTTGGTAGTTCATGATATATTCTATACTCCTCCCCAACACAATAAAAACTGCTGCTTCTAAGTAGCTAAGAGAATACGCCATCCCCTTTTCCTTATGACTCAGGGTGAAGTCTCTCTCAGGGAGGAGTGATAGGGAATGGCAAAGGACACACTG